AGCATAGTTATAAGAATATCTAGGTATGATCATGTATATAGGCATCACGTCCGAGACAAGTAGACCGACTCCTGCCTGCATCTACTACTATTACTCCACTCATCGACCGCTATCCAGCATGCATCTAGAGTATTAAGATAAATACAGAGTAATGCCTTAAGCAAGATGACATGATGTAGAAGGATAAACTCATGCAATATGATAAAAACCCAATCTTGTTATCCTCGATGGCAACAATACAATACGTGCCTTGCTGCCTCTACTGTCACTGGGAAAGGACACCGCAAGATTGAACCCAAAGCTAAGCACTTCTCCCATTGCAAGAAAGATCAATCTAGTAGGCCAAACCAAACTGATAACTCGAAGACACTTGCAAAGATAATCAATCATACATAAAAGAATTCAGAGAAGATTCAAATATTGTTCATAGATAGACTTGATCATAAACCCACAATTCATCGATCTCAACAAACACACCGCAAAAAGAAGATTACATCAAATAGTTCTCCACAAGATAGGGGGAGAATATTGTATTGAGATCAAAAAGAGAGAAGAAGCCATCTAGCTAATAACTATGGACTCGTAGGTCTGAGGTAAACTACTCACACTTCATCGGAGGGGCTATGGTGTTGATGTAGAAGCCCTCCGTGATCAATGCCCCCTCCGGCGGAGCTCCGGAACAGGCCCCAAGATGGGATCTCGTGGATACAGAAAGTTGTGGCGGTGGAATTAGGTTTTTGGCTCCGTATCTGATCGTTTGGGGGTACGTAGGTATATATAGGAGGAAGGAGTACGTCAGTGGAGCAACAGGGGGCCCACGAGGGTGGAGGGCGCGCCTGGGGGGGGGGGGTAGGCGCGCCCCTCGCCCCCTACCTCGTGGCCTCCTCTTTTGTGTCTTGACGTAGGGTCCGAGTCTCCTGGGCCTTGTTCGTTGAGAAAATCACGTTCCCGAAGGTTTCATTCCGTTTAGACTCCGTTTGATATTCCTTTTCTTCGAAACCCTAAAACAGGCAAAAAACAGCAATTCTGGGCTGCGCCTCCGGTTAATAGGTTAGTCCCAAAAATAATATAAAAGTGGATAATAAAGCCCAATAATGTCCAAAACAGTAGATAATATAGCATGGAGCAATCAAAAATTATAGATACGTTGGAGACGTATCAATATTCTATGAAGATCTTTATCGGTCAATCCGCATAACAACATACGCTGTTCCCTTTATCATTGGTATGTTACTTGCCCGAGATTCGATCGTCGGTATCTCAATACCTAGTTCAATCTCGTTACCGGCAAGTCTCTTTACTCGTTCTGTAATACATAATCTCGCAACTAACTCATTAGTTACAATGCTTGCAAGGCTTATAGTGATGTGCATTACCGAGTGGGCCCAGAGATACCTCTCCGACAATCAGAGTGACAAATCCTAACCTTGATTTATGCCAACTCAACAAGTACCATTGGAGACACCTGTAGGGCACCTTTATTATCACCCAGTTACGTTGTGACGTTTGATAGCACACAAAGTGTTCCTGCGGTAATCGGGAGTTGCATAATCTCATAGTCATAGGAACATGTATAAGTCATGAAGAAAGCAATAACAGAAAACTAAATGATCAAGTGCTAAGCTAACGGAATGGGTCAAGTCAATCACATCATTCTCTAATGATGTGATCCGTTAATCAAATGACAACTCATGTCTATGGTTAGGAAACATAACCATCATTGATTCAACGAGCTAGTCAAGTAGAGGCAAACTAGTGACACTCTGTTTGTCTATGTATTCACACATGTACTAAGTTCCGGTTAATACAATTCTAGCATGAATAATAAACATTTATCATGATATAAGAAAATATAAATAACAACTTTATTATTGCCTCTAGGGCATATTTCTTTCAGTTAATACATAAATCAATGGGCTCTGTCAAGTTAGCTATAGGTTGTGTCGTATCTATAATTTCTACATAAGGCCCTAACATTTAGCAAAGCTCTTTGCAAGGCAATACCAACGATGTCCACTTAGCCTTTTCTAAGCGGGGACGGAATGAAACGACCATAATAATGACACTTAGTGTCTACTCTTGATTCAACACACAATCATTGTAGTGTTTGAGTGGATCATGCTATCTCCTCTCGAACCATAATAGACTAGTATTATTGTTTTATCATTGAATCATTTTTCCTTTTGAAAGTTGAAAGCGGGTTAATTTTTTTACAGATGTATTTTTTAGGCGGTCGACATCTATTATGCAGCATAGGTGTTACATCACATATACAACTTAATCGCACGGCACCTTTAGCAATGTATCGTAATGCGGCATCTCTTCCACTACTAGCGCCCTTTACCATAACTTCTGCTCATTGCAAACCTATTGTGTGAATATCATCTATTTATGTTCTTTGACCAGCACAGGGTGATGCTTATATTGAGCTTTTGAATCCACAAGTACCGAACGAGGACAAGAAAACCACCCGACCTTGTATTATTGAAACTAGCTTGAACATGGCTAACACCTTTTGTTATTCTACGTGAACTCTTCCATAAATGAAAACGTGCATTCCTGCACAAACCAATACACACTTTCTTACGTGAACTAATTCTTGGTGTAGCTTTTACCATATTTTATTATCTCATAAATATGAGTTAGAAATAAAAAAACAAAGATATATGTTTCAGGGTAAAATACACCCTTTACTTTAATTACTTCAAAATATTTTATTTGGAATTGGAACATTTCCGCGGATACTTTAGAAATACACCGCAATTTTCTTTTTCGAATATTATCCATGTCTTTCTTTATGCTTTGGATTAGAGCAAATGACTTCAATTCATCCACACCTACAAATCAGTTGACATTTTGTACAAATTTTACGAATGAATGCTCATATTTTTCATATTTTCATATCCTTTCTTAAACCATGAATCTAATCTTTTGGAAAAAAAATAAGTTTCTTCTCTTGAAGTTTAGAACTTAGAATTTATGACCTTAGAAATAAAAACCTAATCCTTGATATCTTAAGTATCCTTAAGTTCTTAGCTATTCTTCAAATATTCGCTATCCTTCGAGTCTTTCATATGCTCTAAATCTTTATGGGGAAGTCTATAGATTATATGTCCCTTTCTTGAATGATAGCGATAGATTGTTTAGATTCGACCAGCTGGTTGTTGTCACTTTTGTAAAAAAAAAATTATATTTATCAAAATCGACTTGTAGTCGACCCATATATGAGTCTTATCCCTGGAACCTTGTGTCATACGCTCATACTGATACTTGCATTTTTTTTTTGAGTGCATACTGATACTTGCATAAGGAACTCGTACTCAACCCACAATCTACCATACATGCAACTTTTTTTTTTTGAGAAACACCATATATGTAACCTTTTTCATTTTGAGAAAACCCATATATGTAACTTAGGTATAGACAAATCTAGATTCTTTTTAGGGGTATATAGATAAATCTAGATGGGTTGCAAATACGATAAGAACAATATATGCACATTTTTTTTGAGACATCACAATATATGCACATAGATCTACCTACCATGTAGTAGATGTGCGGCCCAGTAAGTTTGTTGCCACATTTGGACCCAGTTCATACTCGAATCTTATAAAAGAGAAAATTCCTTATTTGACACTACTTTAAAATATGTTTCCTTATTTGACACTAGAAAACTTTTTCTTCCCTATTTAACACGTGGTCTAAATTTTATGCCTTTCATGACACTTTTGTCTATTTTTTTCATCTAACATTGTTAAATTGCATGTAAAAAGACAGTTTTGCCCCTCGTATAATATGAACTGGTCATCTGGAATACGTCGATGAGCTGTCGACTACAGTACACGCCCCGTCCCTGTGGTCGAGCTCCTCGGCCGCACGTCCTGGCAAGAGGCAACCTGGGCAAGGCGTCGCGCACGTCTTTGCCAGACAGCAAGATACCCCTGACCAAAATGGACTCAACCGGATTCCACTCCATACACAAGGACCAGCTCGTGGACTCGGTCAACACGCGCGCATGCAGGGTGCAAGTGCAATGGTGCCGCGCTCCGCATGCCTCCGCCTACTCGAGAGCCTTTCTATTTAGATTCGGTAGCGAGCTGCCCCACTCGTTGTATCACATATCACATGAGGGGCAAAAACGTCTTTTCAGGTGTCATTTAACACACTTAAGGCTTAAAATGGACAAAAGTGTCATAAATGGCATAAAATTTAGACGCATTGTTAGATAGGGAAGAAATTTTTTTGCAGTGTTAAATAGGGCAAAAAGTTTTAAGACAGTGTTAAATAAGGAATTCTCTCCTTATAAAATGGCAGAATATTAATGCCATGCATATATATATATATAGTTGGATTCTCATTAATAAAAATGAAATCCTGCTATTCAAATCAGCATATCCCCGTGTAGAAATGAAAAACATTTAGAATTTTTTTAGATAAAGGAAAAACATTTAGATTCGCAAAAATAAATAAATTAGATGAGTTGCAGATACGGCCGATATGCACATATATCTATGTAATAGATGTGCGGCCCGGTTTGTTGCCACATTTGGGCCCGGTTCAGATTTGAACATCTCATTTAGCTTCACATCACCCTCTTGCATATATTTGGCAGAATATTAATGTCATGCATATATATAGTTGGATTCTCATTAATAGAATAGAAATGAAATCCTCAGTACTATTCAAATCTGCATATCCCCGCGTAGGATATATACTCACTATTAATAGTGTATATATAATTTCAATAAAATTAATAGTACATATATAGAAATAATGTCCAATTAATGTCCAGTAGAAATACACACAATCCTACCATTTTATATTTGAAGGAGAAAATTAGTGCCATATATTCGTAATTAAAGATATCCCATCAATGTGAAAACACACATGCGAGTCGGAAAAGCTATATAAGCAGCTGCCATTCTCCTGAATTCTCACATCCCATCTTCTCTCTCTGTACTCGTCCATTAACAATTTTCTCCTGAAAGCTGAAGCTCGCCATGGGCGGCTCAGCCGGCATAGTCGTGCTCATGGCGACGATCACGGCGCTGCTGTGCATGGGGGCGGCGGCCGGTGGCCAGCCGCCGTTCTCGTGCTGGCCGGGGGCGCCGTACGTCCGTTTCTGCGACCAGCGGCTGCCGGTGGAGCAGCGCGCGGCGGACCTGGTGGCGCGGCTGACGCTGGCGGAGAAGGTGTCGCAGCTGGGCGACGTGGCGGCGGCGGTGCCGCGGCTGGGCGTGCCGGCGTACAAGTGGTGGTCGGAGGGGCTGCACGGGCTGTCCATGTGGGGCAAGGGCATGCACTTCACCGGCGCCGTCCAGCACGTCACCAGCTTCCCGCAGGTGCTGCTCACCGCCGCCTCCTTCGACGAGAGGATCTGGTACTTCATCGGCCAGGTATGCACGCACGTAGCCGCCGTTCATGTACACTTCATCTTCGTATCTGCGAGATCTTCATCGATCCAAGTAGCGCATCTTCTCTCTGATTTTTTTTACATGGTCATTAATTTAATAAATATAAGGTGATTATTATACTTATATGAACAGTGTTGCTAAATCTTAGTCGACCCGAGACTCGATATTATATTCATGAGATCTTGCGTAGAGATTCGTGCAATTTTTTCTTTTTATGTAGATGCGATAATTGGTCATCGGGTTATAATTGTACATGGTATGGTGTGTAGGCGATCGGCGTGGAGGCGCGGGCGTTGTACAACATCGGGCAGGCGGAGGGGCTCACCATCTGGTCGCCGAACGTGAACATCTACCGGGACCCGCGGTGGGGGCGCGGCCACGAGACCCCCGGCGAGGACCCCATCACGGTGAGCAAGTACGCCGTCGCCTTCGTGAGGGGCCTGCAGGGGCCCTCGCCGACGACGCTGCAGACCTCGGCGTGCTGCAAGCACGCCACCGCCTACGACCTGGACGACTGGCGTGGCACCGTCCGCTACAACTTCAACGCCAGGGTGACCCCCCAGGACCTGGCCGATACCTTCAACCCGCCGTTCAGGAGCTGCGTGGGCGAAGGGCAGGCCAGCTGCGTCATGTGCGCCTACACCGCCGTCAATGGCGTCCCTGCCTGCGCCGACTATAACCTCCTCACCAAGACGTTCAGGGGGCAATGGGGGTTGAAAGGGTACGTGGCCTCTGACTGCGACGCGATTGCGCTGGTGCGCGACGGGCAGCACTTCAGGCCCACGCCGGAGGACACGGTGGCCACCACGCTCAAGGCCGGCATGGACATGAACTGCGGGAACTACACGCAGGTGCACGGCATGGCGGCGCTCCGGCAGGGGAAGATGACGGAGCGGGACGTGGACAGGACGCTCATCAACCTCTTCTCGGTGAGGATGCGGCTCGGGCACTTCAACGGCGACCCCCGGAGCAACCCGCTGTACGGGCACTTCGGCGCTAACGACGTGTGCTCTCCCGCCCACAAGAACCTGGCGCTCCATGCGGCAAAGAGCGGCATCGTCCTGCTCAAGAACGATGCCGGCACCCTCCCGCTCCGCCGGTGGACGGTCGGATCGACCGCCGTCATCGGCCCCAATGCCAACGACCCCGGGGCGCTCCTCGGCAACTACTTCGGCCCGCCGTGCGAGACCATCACGCCACTCCTGGGGCTCAAGGGGTACGTCAAGGACGTAAGGTTCGAACCCGGGTGCATCGATACGGCGTGCTGGTCCGCTGCGACGGGCAAGGCGGTGGCGGTGGCGAGGTCGACGGACCACGTGATCCTGTTCATGGGGACGAGCCACGTGCAGGAGGAGGAAGGGCGGGACAGGACGAGCCTGCTGCTCCCTGGACAGCAGCAGAGCCTCATCGAAGCCGTGGCCCGTGCGGCGAAACGGCCGGTGATCCTGGTGCTTCTCACCGGCGGCCCGGTCGACGTGACGTTCGCGAAATTCAACCCCAAGATCGGTGCCATCGTGTGGGCCGGGTACCCCGGGCAGGCCGGCGGGCTTGCCATCGCCAACGTGCTCTTCGGAGAGCACAACCCCAGCGGCAGGCTGCCGGTGACGTGGTACCCCGAGGAGTACATAAGGGTGCCCATGACGGACATGCGGATGCGCGCCGACCCGGCCACCGGCTACCCCGGCCGTAGCTACCGCTTCTACCGGGGACCGGTCGTCTACAAGTTCGGCTACGGCCTCAGCTACTCCAGGTTCTCCCGCCGGCTGGCAGCCTCAGGACTGGCCGGGCATCAAAAGAGTCTGCTCGCCAGCCTGACCTCGACGCCAGCGGCGGACGGCGGCGCGAGCCACTACGACGTGGAGGAGATCGGGCCCGAGCGGTGCGAACAGCTCAAGTTCCCGGCGGTGGTCGAGGTGGAGAACCACGGTCCCATGGACGGAAATCACTCGGTGCTGATGTTCCTCCGGTGGCCCAACGCGACGGGTGGGCGCCCGGCGAGCCAGCTGGTTGGGTTCCAGAGCCAGCATCTGGAGGCCGGCGAGAAGGCTAGCCTGACGTTCGATGTCAGCCCGTGCGAGCACTTGAGCAGGGCGAGGGAGGACGGCAAGATGGTGATCGACGGAGCCTCACACTTCCTCTTTGTTGATGAGGACGACGAGGCCGAGATCAGCTTCGACGCCTCAATTAACTCTCCTTAGTTATTAGTCCGTTTTTGGCGGGGGGTAAAATATGAATTGCATAGCGGGTTGTTGCGGAGACACAATTAACCGGTGTCTCGAAGAGCTAATTGTTCCGGCAACATCAAGAAATGTTTGCCAGTTTAGTGTAGCTATGTAATGGAATTGTCTGTTTCTAAATCCTCAATGAGAGTTTTTTACATGATGAATGAGATTCTTATTTCTGTCTCCATAATCTGGAATTGTTTTTCTTTTAGAAAACAGGCACAAGGGGCACACGTCTTTGAATTAATAAAGCCAGCATAGGCTAAGGTAGCACAACGTTAAGTTCTTACAAACCAAGCATAATAAAAGACAGAAATACATATCACGACTCCAACACGTGCGCTAACATAACTAAGGCCCCACAAGATCCGACTAAAGAGCTCCGCATAAAGCATAACACCTGTTGCCCAGGCCATGACCTTTTTGAAGGTTAAGAGCGAAGGCCAGACGATCCACGGCCGTTTGCCAAATGAATATACGCACTTTGAGGATGGCTGCAAGTAGCTAAAATTACGAATCATGTATTATTTGGGATTTAAAAAATTCAAATTTGAAAAATGGTTCCAAATTTAAAAATGTTTATGATTTCAGAGAAGGGGCATTTTTTTATTTTTAATGAACATTTTTAGATTTTACGAACAAAATTTGAATTTGATGAAAATTTCTAAAATTTAATGAATATTTTTTGTATTTATGAACACAATTTTCAATTTTATGAAGATTTTTTTATGTTGATGAACATTTCTTTCTATTTGATGAACAATTTTTGTATTCAATGAACATTTTTTGAAGTTGATGAAAAAAGTTTGAATTTGATGAACAAAAATTGTCTACGAAATGAAAAAAGGAAATATAACAAGAAAAAAACAAATAAAGAAAAACATAAACCGGTTCTGGGAAGGTTCTAGAACCTTCCAGCATTCCTAAAATGGGTGTGGAGGACACCTGAATGGGCCGGCCCTATAGCACAGGGCACTCGTCCCGACCCAGCGAAAAAGAAGGCCGAACAAGCAATGGCTTACTCGTCCCGACCCAGCTCACCCGGCTAGCCCAACAAACGCCGCACGCAGCGACACTGGGTGCCCCTGCTCGTCGTCCCCGACCCCGGCGGCTCGGCTCCCGATCTCGCCGGCTCGCCGGACGCCGTCGCCCGTCGCCGCCTGCCTCTCCGTCCCGCCCCGCCCCTCCCGCCAGACCGGCGCTCGGCGCCACCGGGCCCCTCTGGTGCCCCTGCAAGCCGGCGCCCGCCGCCCAGTCCGCTCTCCGCCGACTCCGGCACTCGGCCGGCAGCAAGCCAGCCCTGCCCGGCGGCCAGCCTTTAGCCCGATTTGAGGACTCGAGGTGAGCTGCCCATCCCCCCAGCTTCTGATTTAGGGTTTCATCTTTGCTGTCTGTTGCATCAATCAGGTGGAAGAGTAAGTCGCCTAAGTCTATTGCGTTGACTAAACAATCAGTACAAGAACACGCTTTCCTGTGAACACATAGGCGTAGATTTTGCTATCCAGTGCATGCATGAACACCTGATCAGTGGCATAGCAATGATTTGTCTGATTGTTTTGCCACTCTAACAAATTAACAATGCCACATATTCTTATTTGAACTTGTCAAGGTATGTACTGTGTAGGCTTCTCTTATGCAAATTTGAGAATTTTAGTATGTCTGTAACTCTTAAGGCCATATTGATCTATTTCTATGTGCTACTGATAAATTAATTAGAACGTTGGCATGTCAAATTTGTTGTAGAATTTCTTTAGGTGGACCACCCTGTTTTAACATCCTAGAAAAAATTAGGGCTTTTTTTCCATTTTGTGAGAACCAGGGTTTGAATTGAACCCTGGTTGGTAGCCTCACACCTGGAGGCTGGAGGACTTACCACCGTGCAACATTCTTTTTGCGCTGCAAAACTTCTAAGTAGTTCGTTTTCGCCCCTGTGTGAGTAGTGTTCCTGACTTGCTTCCTGTGGCTCTGGTAAATGATATGATGAACTTTGTGTCGTGCTTGCCTAGATTACAAGTGGGCAGCCCCTAAAACAATGCGGACCTCCTTCCAGTGAAGAAATTTTAAAGTAGCTAATGCACTGTTTCAGTCTCAGGGAGGTTTTAAAAATGGAACATCAAACAGCCGAGGCGTCAATCAGATCTCTTCTATCTGTTGGCACCGTTCAGGCTCTATCTATTAAGCCAGTTTGATAAGTTTCCGCGTGTACTTTGACCCAAACTCATGTACTGATAAGACTGTCAATGATCCTATGTGGGTGGGAACAAATTTCTTGGTTACATTATGCCATCTCAATGTCTTCAACTCTCCTTCGCTGCTTGGCCACTTCCTGGTTTCCTGTTGAGAGTGTGTTTTATGTATGTGCAGGGCGGGTGTGTGAATGGCTCAACCTTCTGTCATTCTTGCAACTGCAAGTTATGACCACACAATCAGATTTTGGGAAGCCAAGAGTGGTCGCTGTTACCGCACTATTCAGTATCCAGACTCGGTGAGTGTTGGCTCTGGGTTCTTCATTGTCCTTATGACAAAAGTAATGATGTACATAAGGTGGATGGACCATACCCTTCCATAATTCTGTTCAAACAGTCTTACAGGACTACAAACAAATAAATATTATAGACCAATGCAGGCTTGATTCGCTTCAAGACATAGTTACATACTTGCAATCATATGCACCATGTGCCTGTTGATAGCCTTTCTTTTGCAGCAAGTAAATCGCCTTGAGATAACCCCGGACAAGCGGTTCCTAGCTGCTGCTGGCAATTCTCATATCCGCCTTTTTGATGTGAACTCAAATAGCCCACAACCGGTATGTTACATGTTCTCTAAAAGCAACCAATCTGGGCCAACATGTTTCCGTTCCTTATTTACTCATCAATATCCTAACAGGTAATTAGCTATGATTCGCATACTAGTAATGTGATGGCTGTGGGGTTCCATTGTGATGGCAACTGGATGTACTCAGGTTCTGAGGATGGCACTGTGAGAATTTGGGATTTACGGTGAGGTTTCACATCTTATTATGTTGCTTGGCTACAGCTCTTTTTTCCTTCACCTGCTGTTCTTCTCAAAAGCTGTTCTCAAATAATTATTTTAATCAAGACAGAGAATCCAAAGCAAACCCATCTTTAAGTGCTATTATGCAGACTCAGAGTATGCTTGATTCGGTGTGGTTTGGGTAAACTAGATCGATCGGGATTAAGTGTCAATCACTCAATTGAATGTAACTTGTTTAGAAAATCCTACCAATTCATTTATCTATAAATCTGCTCTATCCAAATCTCGTTGAATGGCCCATGTGAGAGTTTGCTGATACTCAAGAGTGTTTTTCTGTGCGGAGGGATAGTGGTCTTGAAGTTTAAACTTTAACTAGATACTCACCCTTATAGTAATATCCTGTGTTTTTGTTAATGATTTTCCTGTCCATGATGTATGATGTTCTGTTGATCCGAATCTTTATTCGTGTGCATGTATGGTTTCAGGACTGCCACTTGTCAACGAGAATATGAAAGTCGCGCAGCTGTCAACACCGTGGTCCTACACCCAAATCAGGTTAGAATATGTTCCGGCAGGTCTTAACCAATTCCAATTTTCATTATCCAAGCATAGCACTGAATCTTGCATTTGATCATAAGCTTGTTGACTGGCTAATACTCTATGAAAAGAAGGCTTGTAATTTTTGTGTTAAGTGAAATGATGCATGGTTTGACTAGATATGTAGGAAAAACCATCAACAACTACACTCTTAAATAGATATAGTATAAGTATGAAGATATATTGCATTATATATCTAATGATATTAATTTGGTATCGTAGGTCTTGATAGTTTTTGCTACAAACTGGCAAGGGTTGTCTTATTTTCCACGTTTGTCCTGGTATTTTGTTCATTCTATATCATTTACTTCCACATTATCTCCCCAATGTTCCAGAAAGAACTAATATCTGGCGATCAGAACGGAAACATACGTGTGTGGGATTTGGCAGCTAATTCATGCAGCTGCGAGTTGGTAAGTTACATATTTCAGATTTTAGGTGCAAGTGTATAATTAAAGTGAGATGCAAGAACACGGTTGATGTGTTTGTTCCATTTATTCAGGTGCCAGAGGTCGATACAGCTATAAGATCTCTGACAGTCATGTGGGATGGGAGTATGGTTGTTGCTGCAAATAACCGTGGGACATGTTACGTTTGGCGCTTGCTTAAGGGTACTCAGGTTAGTGAGTCTGCAGACCTACATGCCATTGTACACTCTATGATTTCTGCATTTTTTTTTTCAAGCTGATGAGACCACTTGTTTAGACAATCACCAGCTTTGAGCCCCTCCATAAGCTGCAAGCCCATGATGGCTACATTCTGAAGTGCCTGCTTTCACCTGAATTTTGTGACCCTAACAGGTATATAATGATCAAAATGACCAATTTTCGCTTTCCCGACTCTTCTAAATGTCTTCTTTTGCACACTGCTTTCTAGTTCCCATTCATTCATTTGCCAAACTGCATTGGTGCACATGAAAGTCTTTTTAGTCAGTGGCATTCACCTTTCAAAGCTCCAATTATACTTTTTTCATCTCAAAAAAGGATTCATCTTTGTATATTATAACAACGTACCACTTTGGTTTGTTTACAGGTATCTTGCAACTGCATCATCTGACCACACTGTAAAGATTTGGAACGTGGATGGCTTCAAGTTGGAAAAAACTTTAGTCGGTAATTTCCGGGCTCCTTTTTAATTCTGAATTTATCAGTTAGAACTAAAAGTTGTAGAATTTTAATCGGTGCACTGAAACTATGCGGGGTATTCGACTCTCCAGGTCACCAGCGCTGGGTTTGGGACTGCGTTTTCTCAGTAGACGGTGCTTACTTGATAACAGGTACGCGCTAACCGCTCACATGGCACTGCTCATCTTCCTGGCTATTCACGGTTTAAAACCGGGCGAATCTTTGCTGTTCTGCAGCTTCGTCTGATACGACGGCAAGACTGTGGACAATGTCGACTGGGGAGGCCATCAGGGTGTACCAGGGGCACCACAAAGCAACCGTCTGCTGCGCCCTCCATGATGGGGCTGAATCGGCACCCTCATAAGCAACACCGCCGCGACGCGGCATGGTTCTGTACATATCTCTGTCGATTCGAACAACGCAGCAGGGTGCTCTGCTAGATTTTCAGCGCCGTGGCGGCTCGAGGACAGGCGGTTTTAAGATTTGATTTGCTGTAGTGTTAGGACCATGTGTAACAATGTACTTATATGCAGTGCAGCCTTTGGGGGCTGCGCACAGGTGATTTGTATGGTTGCTTACATTGTTGGATATTTATTTGTGCACAACCGAAATAATATGCACCCACCGCCATTGGTTCCGCTTGGTAAATGCGAGCCAGAAATGTGTTCGACGTGGACTGTTTTTCCTTTGGTTATTTGCTATGTTCTTTGGTTCGACGGCCAAATGGTTAAGAAATCAGAGTTAATATAAAGATGAGAGCATGACTTGATGGAGCAAGGCAGCCACTATTTAGGCTCAGTTTTTTGGTGGTTTATTTTAAAGGGAAAAGCCTCTCGGTATCTTCTATTACATATAAGGAAGAATAAAATTGGGTGGATCTCCATCCAACCAAAATCAGGCTGCATAAGAATGCTTTGCCAGGACAGCTTCACCTCGGCTTATTTTATTTATTTTTTGAGGCAAACTCACAAAGCTTTTATTCATCCGTCACACAGTTTACAGGGACGAAGCAAAGATCTTCAGGGTGGCCTAACCAAACATGGCGGCCGATCCCCAGCGTTAAAGCATGCTTTGCAAGTTTGTGGGCCAACATTTGAGGTTCTAAATTCATGTAAGAAACAGCTTACATTAGAAACCACCAAAAGAATTGGGCCTTAGCGCAAGATATGTCTTCACTTTGGATATGGTGATTGATTCTATAACTAGGCCTTAGTGTGAGAGCTGTGTGCATTTGAATAATGTTCTCATCAGCATTTGGTGAAGAGTAAATTCAAGAAAAACCGACTTTTCTGCATGAAAGATTTTTCAATGTGCGAGGTCGGTGTCAATTTTCAGAGCGTCCGGACATCTAAGTAGCTCTCTCCAACCAATAAACTGTTTCAGACCCTCAAATTTGTCTTTTCTGCTAAGGGCTGCTCAGATGTCCAAACGCGCTGAAAGTGTCAATTGACACATACCTCACGCAATGAAACATCTTCTAGGCAAAAAAGAAGAGATTATTTTTCTGATTTTACTGTTCATGGCAGGAGCAGATGAGCTCGGAGCCAAATCGCCGTCAGCGCTGCTATACACACGATGGTGTGTGGACGATTCCTGAACGATAACGCAGATCAACTCATCCATGCACAACAGTAAAGTGAAGCAGACGGCTGGATTTGGCCGTCGTCTCCTTGTCGTGCACGCAGTATCGTCTTTACAGCAGTTTCGAATCGCCGTTCTACCGTGCTAACTGTTATTTGATCCAGCGTGTGAGCCATTTTATTGCTATGGTATCAGCATCGACCACAACACTAAATTAAAGCGGGTTTTTTTTTATCTTATCTCCGTTCTCGACGTTACTCATACAACAAGATGAATTGAAATGTCCCAGAACAAGGAAAAAGGTAGAAAAAGAAAAGAAAAGAGAAATTACATCTAGCTCACTGGTTTTCTACTTGTACTAGCCCAATTGCGGGTAGCCAACTAGGTAGGGCAAACAATGAAGGATTAATACAGAGGTCCGATTATTCATTCATAATCATAACAGAAGAGAGAAAGGAGTTGAACAAAGCAAGAGGACTGTGGTACCATCGCAGGACCTCATTGCGCATAGATTGGAAGAATTGGCCTCTGCTGCTACCACCATCATGTTTCGACCTAGCGACGACCACTGGGAGCTTTCACCCAAGGAACACTGACCTTGAAATTCCAATCCAAGCCATCAAAGATAAGATGCACGCACCAGCACCGGCACCGCAACCGACATTGGTGGTGAGTTGACGGGTGCGCGTGGATGCTTGCGAGATTGTGCGCGCACCGACCATCTGAGCAAGCATAAACGTCTTCTGAAACGATGTTTGTCTACTTATATGGATGCTGGTATACATAAGGTTTGCTTGAAATTACTAATGTAAATGTCCATAAACAATTGCAAGTTCGATACACAAACATATTCCATCTTTTTGCGGACTGCCATGACCAAATTAAAAACAAAGACTCAGCAGTACAAAAGGTGGTAATGCATCTCATAGAAATGCTTAAAAACAAAAGGGGAAATCATAACGGAGAACATAACCAGCACTGATACAAGTTTAACTTACAAGGCTAAAACAATAGCTTAGTGACGCAACCACTAACAAAGAAATGAAAGCGGGATGAATATATTACCTATTTGACCAAAACCATGTCATCCCCAGAAGCCTTGGCAGCAACAACTTCCAATTGTCTCCATGCCGATTCCCGTTGCTCCTCCAATTCTTTGGCTTTTTCCTCTTTCTCAATGTACTGCTGGTGGCACTCATCAAATAGATCACTATCCATGTCCAAAAACATCTTGCGCACATTTGCGGTCAGGCCATGAACAGCTTGATTCCAGTGGCTCTGTATGTTCCTCTCAAGTGCTTCAAATATTATTGGAAATATAACACCGCGATTTTGGGCAATCAGGCTTACAATGTGATCATTGTTCCATAAGAACAAAGCCCGCTCAGCAACCTGCCATAAATAAATAAACATTACCAGTTAAGCAAAATATCAGATAAATGAAGTGGCCATGCATCACAGAATCTACAATGCTTGTGTAATCAAACATGGTTCTTAAACAAAACCAGCAAGAAACTGCAAATAAATAGATAATGTCATGGTGTGGACTAGAGTAGCATGAAACAGACTAACGGCATGATGAAACGGCAGGGAGCAGTTAGTTCTCTATTCGGAAGGGGTAGCTATACCATTATAACATGTATAGCAGGAGGTTTATTGGGCCCGTTAGCCAAAACTCAAAGACCAAGGCAGAATATTAAAGCTGATAACCCATGATTTCCGAGCACACCAACAACCAATCACATTAGCTCGCAGTTATTATGGAGCATGCCAGCAGCCGGTTGCCCGCTCCGCTTGTGCATGCAGCCAATCATCACACTCCTCCAGCGCTAGCCATATTAGCCCTTAATTATTGCATGCAGCTGGTTGCTTGCTCCTTTTTGCATGCCGAAACGTCAACCAATCAGGCGCAAAGTTCAGCCGAGGGGGGCGAGGGAAATCAGACGCACACGTCTAGTAGGGAGAAAAACGGACGCAGCTAGCTTGCTCACAGGCCCAATAAACCCGGTCAGAGGGAGTATTTGACATGCCTTAGTCCCACATCCCAGGATATGGGGGGCTAATCTGATGAGCACAACTGACAGCGCGACAGAACAAATACCTTGCTCTGAGCAACTTTCTTTTACACATATAATCATCCAATGAAACTTATCAGATCAATATTGCTCGAAATGCCATCAAAGACAGCAGATTTGGAAATGTACCACTGCCACTTCTTGGGCAAAATTGCAATGTGGCACGACTTTCTTTTGTCAGGGAGAGGAAGGTGTGAGTAATTGCTACCAGGGTTTTAATTATCTCGTGCACATGAACTGCTGACACCTAACCAGGATCTCTTTTTACAGGAGAAAGGGCAATCAGAAAGCCTGTTATAAAGTACAAACAACTGTATCACCAAATAGGTCAAAGCCCAAAACATACTGATTAAATGCAGCAAAGAAACCCGCTTACATGTGCAGTTATCAGGAAGCGGACATATGATACATCTAATATATTTCTTTGGCCTGGTGACAGACACTCCTAATATCTATAGCTTAATAATAAAGCTTCTTGATGGGCTTTCTCACTCTCCTCCAATTAAAAGAACTCCAAGAGAAACGGATTAGGTATTAAACTAGTATGGTCACACATCCACAAACAACGGTCATAAGGAGAAAAATATATTTGCATATGCAGATCGAAAACACATAAGTAGTGCCAGACAAGGGTGATGAATGCAAATAGGTTACGGAATGAAAAAAGACATAGTACAGTGACATGAAAGCATACAAAGCGGCAAAGGAGCAACTGCACTCCAATTTGGCGGCTCATGGGGTCCTGGCGATGGGACCATGAACACGATTTAACTTCCCTATCAGTCAATTTTTATTTTTTTTTGAAAAACCTGCTACAAGGTGTCCAATACATTGCAAATGGATTGAAAAATAAAATGATGAGTAATTTCATAATTAAGAAACTATATGCATTAGCCAAATCTAGTGTATTTAGTAGTTAGCCAATTCCAGACTAGTTCCAACATGAGAAAAGTTTGAAGTTTGACACACTAGTCCGTCAAAACCCACTAACATTGCATTCTGGTGAAAATTACTGAACAACGTAAAAGAAAATGCTCATGCTCGCACAATCATTAGAAAATGAACTGGAAATCAGCATGCAATTAGTATCTCACTCTACCATAAGACTAATAATTAGGTTCTTGAACGTTAAATCCACTGGTAAATATGCAAGATTGAACTAATCCTTAAGATATGCTCATCACCATCGTTGCAAATAATAGACTTCTTATGATGCAGAGCTCAGTTTGGAGTAGAAAAATGGATATAAATTCAGCAGACATTCTTGTTAAAAGATGGTAAAATTGAAACTTGTATCCTCCCTTTTTTGTTTG